TTCTCCCTGGCCACTTTTAGTATTCTTCCCTTGTCTTTAGTTTTGGAGAGCTTGATTATTATATGTCTTGGTGACTTTCTTTTGGGGTCTATCCTTCCTGGGTTACGTTCAGCTTCTTGAATGTTTATTTTCTCATCTTTCAAGATGTTAGGGAAATTTTCTTCCAGAAGCTCTTCAACTATCTCCTCTGTGGACTTCTGTGATTCTTCCTGTTCCAGAATGCCAATAATTCTTAAGTTGTTCCTCTTCATATTATCCAGCATGAATCATAGACTCTCTTCAGATTTTTTATCCTTTTTTCTGCTTGCTCTTCTATCTTAGCAGTATTGAGAGAGTTGTCTTCCAGCTCACTAGTTCTGGCTTTCATCTCTTCTATTCTGCTCATTTCCCCTCTCAGCGTTTTGTCCATTTCTGATATCTTATTATTGATCATCTGGACATCTTTTTTCAGGTTTTGAATTGTTTCCAATACTGTATCAATCTTATTTGATTGCTCCTGTAGCACTTTCCTGACTTTGTCCTTGTTTTCATCCACCCCTTTTCAGAGCATTTGAATTTGTTTCCATATCATTCTTCTGAATTCTTTCTCATGCAAATCCAAAACCTGCTCTTTCTCCTCTAGAATGCTTTTTTCTGTCTCCAGATTATTTGCATCAGCTACTCTCTTCTGGTTTTGGACGTGTTTCAATCTCATTTGTTGCTTTTTGTTCATCATGATAGTTATGTGTTTTGTTGTTTCTTTGTTTTTTTAAGCTTAAGTGAATGTTCGTTTTTTGTTGTTAGGCTTACTGGGTGTCTCCTGGTGAATATGATCAGGAGATAGGCTTCCCTTTTCACATTTAATGCTTAGAAGGTGTTGTTGGCTCTTGTCTCAGTGGTGGAATATTATGGGGTATGCTTATAGCTTGGCTATATGGCCACAATATCTGTCTCTTCTTGGGTAACATAGGGAGAAAAAGCTCCCACCTCCAGGAAAGATGTGTGATCAAAAGAACCAAAAGTAGAAGTAATATAAGTGCATAGACAAAAATCACAACTGTCCTGAGCTACACCATCAGTGTGTATGCACAATTAGAAGCCTCCAGCAGGGGGCTGGGGGTGTCCACTCTTACGCCCCTCATCTAGTCACTACAGTAGTGGTGCACAGGTAGATATTGGGGATTAATGGAAGAAAGATTGTCTACTATTTTTGTCTCTGAACGTCAGTTAGGTATCTGTGTGTGCACAGTGAAATTCTCAGGATGGTTGAGTCTTTTTATGCTGGGGTTTTACAGATTATTTTGAATTGGTTCTGCACATGGAGCTTGGGCAGCGCAGCAGCCATGAATGGGGCTCCGAACCACAAGCTTAGCAGCTTGAAACCACCAGCCACACTGTGGGAGAAATGTGAGGTGCTCCGCTCCCACACAGACCCACAGTCCCAGAAACCCCGCACAGGGCCGTCTGGAGTCGGAACCTACTTCCATGGTGCACCACCATGGAAGGGTCCCACTGGGGAAACTTTTAGGTGTGTGGCTCCACAGGTGACATCATAAGTTGCTGCCAAGCTCCTTCTCGCTGTATCATGGGAAAACTGTCCCACCTAATGTCCGGGCTGAACAATGAAGGTGGGACAGGGAGAAAGAGGGGAAAGAGGGAGAAATGTGTAGTCTCCTGCCTCTCTCATTTTTTTTTTTTTTTGCAAATGCCTCTGTACTGCTTTTAGCGTGGTTTTCTGAGCTGGACTGGCTCTAGACTCTGCCAGGGTGGGGTAGTCACCGAGGGAGTCCCATCTCCAGATTCTTAACTCACAGTATTTTCCTAAATATAGTGATTTTTTTCACTTGTGAGTACGGGAAACTAACATCCTGGATCTTATGGTAGATCTGGAGCTCTGGAGTTGTTCTACAAATGCTTCCTTCGTGAGATCCCCCTCCCTTCTCACCCGAGCATATCCTACCTGGTTTTTGCTGCTATCACCCAAAACCCAGGATAGTAATTTTTTGCAAGGAGGGGACCCGGATGACAGAAGCTGAAACACATGATTAAAGTCAGGTCAAGATCTGAGAATCATCTTGAAAGGTTTCTTGCCTCAAACATCTCCAGATTCTCATTTGCCAGTAGGCTCCTGCACAGGAAGTCACAGGGTCTGTCCAACATCTTGATAAGCCTCACTTGGTCACCAGATTTCACTCCAGCTCCTGCAAGCATATTCCAGACAGGGTTAGAAAAGCCCATCCTTTTCTACTCACCTCCACCAAAAAGAAGAACGGTGCTAAGGTAAGAGTGAACTCAAGAGCCATCTTTCTCCCAAGCCAGACTTGGTTTTTCCCTGTAAGTTCACAATTTTTTCAAGTTGTGGTAGGGTTAGGGTATGCAGGGAGTCATAGGCCTCGATTAGGAAGAGACAAGGGATATGTAGTCCTTCATAGAATCTCTGGGTACTGGCAGCTTAGAGTGTGGGGGATGCAAATGGTTCTATTTTTGTTCTACCTCCATACTTCCTCCCTTTGTCTCCAAACATCCAAATCTGCTACTGTAGGGAGAAATATTTTGCTAACTTTAAGGAGCAGGATGACATGCAGTCATTGCTTCCCCAAACTCAGTTTCTCTTAACAACCTCAGGTATTACAAATTTGCCTGATACTCAAATGCTTGGTTTGCTTTTTGTTTATTTGTTTTTCTCTTTTGTATCACTGCAGCTGTTAGTGTAATGGAGTAACTGAAGAGAATTTAATGAAGGGACATGGTGTGGGCAAGGATAAGGGAAACCATTAAGTACAGTAAAGCTCCCCCAAAACAAGTAATAGCAGGGAACTATTACTATGTCATTAGATAGAGTAGCAGCAGCACTGCTAAGTACAGTCTAGTAGGAAGAGAGCCAGGAAATTTAGAATTCCCAAAACCCTCTCCTCTTGCCCTCAAGCTCTTCTCAGTGTCTCCCTTTGGCTAAACTTACCCAGGGATCCAAGGCCACAGGGGAAGAGAGCCCATCATTGAGGCACAGAGTTATTTCCTCCTGGGACCTAGAGCACAGTAAAGAGACCGTGGGAAAAGTGATGTAATGGCAAATGCAGACTCCATCACACCTTCCTACATCTTCCTCATGGAGAGTTCTCTCTCTGGCTCATCTGATTGGGCTAATCTCTCATTGAATCGCCTACAGTTTTTAGAAGGTGTTTTCTTTTTTCCTTTTGATTGTTTGCACTTCTTTTATTTAGTGTCATTTTATTAAACCACTCTGGAGCCTTCTGAGAGACAGGAAAGGACTCCTATAGTCAGTTGCTTGTTTCCAGACGGCTTCTGCTCATCTATCCTTTTTTCCTTATATGACTGCTATATCTTCCTTGCTCTTGCTAATGATTAATAAATCTCGACTACAGACTCCCACTTTTTTATATTACATTTTGGATTTTACTTGTGTATTATTTACATATTTTTCCTTTCCCTTTCATGTGTAATGAACATGCTACACTGGCAGTGAGTCTGCAGGACTGGTTAAGAGAATGACTGGCTCAGACCTGTGGGTTCACATCCAGACTCTACCACTTGTATGCATGGAACACAGGGTAAATCACTCAACCTCCTTATGCTTCAGTTTACTCATCTGGAAAATGAGAGTAATAATGTTCTTAGCTCATTGGGCTCTGAAACAAATTAAAATTTATAATACCTAATAAGCACTCCGTCACCTGCTCTTATTCACCCTGATATGATTTAGACCACCTTCACAAGTTGAAATTCACATGAGTATTTGTCTTTTCAGCCAAATCCCTGCAAAATATAGAAATGAGTACTTTGTCAATTCCCCATCCTCAACAATCCTCTTCATAAATGCTTTCTTTAATCAGCAAAACAAGCTACTCAAAATCATCTTGGGGGGAGTTTGAGTGAGTTTACATTGCACATGTTCTAGCAAATTGCTTAATCATCCCTCAGAAATCATGGGGCTTCCAAAAATTGTGGTAAATGGAATTGAAAAATAATGGATTTTTTCCACAAACTTTTTGAAATCCCCATGTATATCCATGCTTCAATTAACCTACTCAACTGCAGTGCAACCTTTTTATCTTTCTTCCCAAACTTTCCTCTTTCTTCTATAAAATGCAGGGAAATTTATTTTAGCCCTACCCCTACCCCTAAATTCTTCTAGCTGCTCATTAAAGCCATTTGATGGCCCTCCAGAGTTTGAGCATGAAGGTGGTCATCATTAGTTACTTGGGTACGCATAAGTAATTCAAACAAACACAGAAGGAATAATCATAAATGTAATTCTTTTTGTCTCCTTACATTGTGTGTTTTCTAATGACTAATTTCATATTTTAAAATTATTAACTCAAAAACTTCACTATTATTAGGCTCCCCATTTATTCATTTCTTTATTTTAAAAATGCTCAATTGTGTCCCCCCACATGAAACTAGACAGTAGGAACACACAATGGACAAGAAAAAGGTACTTCTATCCTCATAAAGATTATATATTGAGCCATTTGTAGTTCAAGAAAACTGGCCTTTCTCACATCTGTATAGTAAGTGATCACATTCCCCTCAGGTTCCTAAGCATGGTCTTCCTCCCCTTTGGTGGATGGGCATTCTTAGTCACTGGAAGAAAAAAGTTTCCAACTTCCAGTTTTTTAGAGGAAATCTCCATCTCAGGACAGAAGGAATGCTGAACCCAGTGTGCTGTCTGTTCCACAGAGCTTGTGTCAGACTTTTTCTCTTGTTGCCTCCTTAATGACTGAGGGTATGACTTGGCTCAGGAAGATGTGGAGAGGTTTTGTTATAGAATTGCTCCATGTTAGTAGAAGGCATGAAGAGCCAGAGTTTTCATCTTTCATAACTAGAATTTAATCAAGGTTTCAGGACTCCCAGGCCTTTGATAAATTACGTAGTTTTTACAAGTCACCATTTTCCTCCTCTGTAAGATGGGGACAGTCCTTCCCACACAACAGGGTGATTAAGAGATCCAAGGATGAATCAAAACGTGCTCAAATTTCGTTTGTGTTCCCAGGGGCACCAGTGGCGAACTTCTGAGCATGGATACAACCATTCCAGCAGTAAGGACTGATTTTACAACAATGAATAGAAGTGATGGCGCCCCTCCTAACGTGTGTAATGTGCAGACCCTGACACCAAGCTTGCTGATCATCATCATCAGCCTTTGTGGGCTGGTAGGAAATGCTATTGTGCTCTGGTTTCTGTGCTTCTGTCTGCGGAGGAACATCTTTTCTGTCTACCTCGTCAACCTGGCGGTGGCTGACTTCTTATTCCTCTGCTGCCAAGTTTTATTTTCCCTGGAGGAACTTATTGACATCTTCCATTCTGTTTTCATCGCCATCCCCTATTTTTTCAGCACTGTGTTCTGCTTTTTCTACATTGCAAGCCTGAGCATTCTCAGCATCATAAGCACCGAACGCTGCCTGTCCATCCTGTGCCCTGTCTGGTTCCGCTGCCACCGTCCAAGGCACACATCAGCCACCATGTGTGCCCTGCTCTGGGTCCTGTCTCTGCTGCTGAGCACGCTAGAAGGGAATTACTGTGGCTTCCTGTTTGAAGACTTTGAGCATAATTGGTGTCAGACATTTGATTTCATCACTACTGCGTGGCTGATATTTTTATTTCTGGTTCTTGCTGGGTGCAGCCTTGTCCTGCTGAACAGAATCCTCTACAGCTTCCAGCGGTTGCAGCTGACCAGACTCTATGTAACTATTGTGCTCACTGTGTTGGTCTTCCTTGTCTGCGGTCTGCCCTTTGGCATCCATTGGTTCCTATTAATCTGGATTCACAAAAATGTGTTCACATGTTATCTTGATTGGGTTGGACTTATCCTGTGCAGTGTTAACAGCAGTGTCAATCCCATCATTTACTTTTTTGTTGGCTCCTTTAGGCAACGGGGGCAGCTGAGGCAGCGACGGCGGCTGCCACTGACCCTCAGGATTGTTCTCCAGAGAGCCCTGCAGGACACTCCTGAGCTGGATGAATCTGCAGGCAGCTTTACTCAGGAGATGTCAAGGAATAGTGTGATGTAGACTTACTTGAGAGGCTCTGCTTTGTATGTGTCTCAGTTTGATTTAAGTTTTCTAAACTTTTTCTCAACGTTATTGTACAGTGCTTAGGGCACAGATCTTGCACATCTTTTGTTAAATTAGAATTTGGAGTGTTCCAATGTTAATGTAAAGGGTGTTTTTAATTTTGCTTTTTATTTTTTATTGCCAGCTTATAGAAATGCAATTGAGATTTGTATATTACTGTTATATGCTGAAACATTGCTAATTTTATGTATTATTTCTTTGCCATTTAGGGGGATTTCTTAGAAGTTTCTACATACACACGATGTTATTTAAAAATAAAGAGAGCTTTAGCATTTTCTTTCTAAATCTTATGGATTTATTTCATTTTTTCCACTTATTCTAATAGCAGAACATCTAAGATAATGCTGAATAAAAGTGGTAAGAGTCAATATCTTTGTCTTGTGTCAGATTCAGAAGTAAAATGTTTCATATTTTATCATTTACTGTGTTTTTCATAGATGCTTTATATTATTAGTTTGCTGAGAGTTTTTGTCATGAACAGATATTGTTGTTGTTGTTAGGTGCC